CGTTCTCCAACAGTGCTCTCGAGACCTGATCATTGGCATAGATTTTCTCATGGAGCATGGTGCTATAATTGACATTCGACGACGTCTACACAAACGCCACAACAGCTTACTCCGACCCCACCCACTCTCGACTGTCTCTTCGCGTTATCGATGACGCTGTCACATTACCACCCTGTACAACTGTTGTGGTTCAGGTAGCGTGGGACGGAGTGATGCACGGTGAAGCAGTCGTAGAAAGCAATCACTTGCTTTTGCTGTCTCAGGGTGTCTGCGTAGCGAGAAGCCTTGTTGACCTTTGTGATGATCACTGCAACGTTTCTGTCACAAACTTCAGCTACGAGCACCGGCACCTTTTTCCTGGAACTGTCATCGCCTACGCTGACCCAGTCGCCAATGTCACAGAGTGTTTTGCTTTCGAGACCATCGGCACTGCTGAAGCGCCTTTCCGCAGCATCGACATCAATCCAAAGCTTTCTAAAGCGAACAAGCAGCGTTTGAGCGAGCTGTTGCTGGAATTCCACACATGCTTTGCACGTTCTTCGAAGATACGTCAAACACCGATTACGAAACACCGTATTATCACCTACGATGACGCGGATCCCATACAGCAGCAGCCTTATCGTGTTTCGCCAACCGAACGGCACGGGATTCAAACGCAGGTTAAGGAAATGCTTCACGATAGCGTGATACAGCCTTCAAGCCGCCCTTCGTCATCACCAGTCGTTCTTGTGAAAAAGGAAGATGGCACGTTTCGCTTTTGTGTCGACTACAGGAAGTTGAACAATGTCAAAGAAAGACGTGTACCCGTTGCCCAGAGTGGATGATTCTCTGGACAGGCTGCGCCACGCGAAGTATTTTTCGTCCGTCGACTTGAAGAGTGGCCACTATTGGCAAATATAGGTCGATGAACGTGACCGGGAAAAGACCGCTTTTGTACCGCCGGATGGCCTTCATGAATTCAATGTGCTCCCTTTCAGCCTCTGTTCCGCTCCAGCCACATTCCAGCGAATTATGGACACTGTCCTGGCAGACCTCAAGTGGACAAGCTGTCTCGTCTACCTCGATGACGTGGTTGTGTTTTCAGAAACGTTTGACGAGCATCTTTGTCGCCTTCGGAATGTGCTCAAAGCCATTAGATCGGCCAATCTCGCACTCAAGCCTGAGAAATGTCATTTCGGCTATGAAGAATTAGTTTCTTGGTCACGTCGTCAGCGTCGTTGGTGTTTGGCCTGATCCTAACAAAACTGCTGCCGTCGCCGCTTTTCCAACTCCAACTGACAAGAAAAGTCTTAGACAATTTCTGGGTCTGTGCGCGTATTAACGGCGCTTTATTGAAAATTTCTCCAACATCGCGGAGCCACTATTACGCCTCACGCGTCATGACACACCATTTGTCTGGGCTGACGAACAGCAGACTGCCTTTGCAGAACTACAGCACCGGCTCTCTTCCCCTCCCGTATTAGGCCACTTCGATGAAGATGCAGACACAGAAGTACGCACTGATGCCAGCAATATCGGTCTTGGAGCTATTTTGGTACAACAACAAGACTGCATTGAACGGGTAATAGCCTACGCAAGTTGCACACTGTCTCACGCAGAATCTAACTATTCTACATCAGAGAAAGAATGTCTTGCGGTCATTTGGGCAATTACAAAGTTTAGGCCATATCTCTATGGAAGACCATTTAAAGTGGTGACTGATCATCATGCTTTGTGCTGGTTGACAAATCTACGAGACTCTTCAGGACGATTAGCACGATGGAGTCTGTGCCTACAGGAATTTGATGTCACCATCGTGTACAAGTCAGACATAAAGCACGAAGATGCCAACACGCTATCACGAGCACCTCTTCAATCCGCCAGTACAAGCACAGAAGAGGACGGCGCCTTCGTGGCAACGCTGAGTGGGCCGGATCTGATGTCTCAGCAACGAAATGACGCCGATCTAAGAATGAATATAGATCACTTAGAAGGTGGCACCGCGCCCATTCCTCGTCCAATGTCGTGAACGTTGTCATCATTTTGCCTATGAAATGGCGTCTTATACAAAAAGAACACTGGTGCTGGTGACAGATCGCACCTTCTCGTCGTGCCTGAAGCCCTCCGTGATGACGTCTTATTAGCTTGCCATGACGAGCCACGTCCGGCCATCTGGGCTACTCGAGAACTATGGATCGGGTGCGACAACACTACTACTGGCCTAAAATGTCTGCCTGTGTCAAACACTACGTGTAGGGATGCCGTGAATGCCAGCGTCGCAAGACACCGCCCTTAAAGCCTGCAGGCCATTTACAACCGATCGGTCCACCCCCTACACCGTTTGATCAAGTGGGAATGGACCTCCTTGACCCGTTTCCTTTGTCTTCTTCCGGCAACAAATGGATTATTGTCGCAACCGATTGTTTGACGCGTTACGCTGAGACGAAGGCATTGCCCCGAGGAACCACAGCTGAAGTTGAACAGCAGCTGAAGTTGCCAGTTTTTTTTATGCATCAAATTGTGCTATGGCATGGCGTCCCGTCATATGTTATCACTAATCGAGGGTCATCATTCACAGTGAAGCTCTTGGATGATATTTTCAGATTGAGTTATACAACCCATTGAAAGACCACTGCGTATCATCCTCGGAGTAATGGTTCAACGGAAAGGCTAAACAAAACGCTAGCCGACATGATCTCTATGTACATGAATGTGAAGCACAAAACGTGGGACGACATCCTGCCATACGTAACATTTGTGTACAACACTGCAATGCAGGAAACTACACGCTTCATGCCATTTCGGTTCGTTTATGGTTGAGATGTCAGAACTATGCTAGACGCCGTGATCTCGTATGAGGACATCGATGAGCTCGACCAATTAGCCCCCGACATCAATGAGTACATTCAGCACACTGAGGAAGCACGTCAAGTGGCCCGTGTGCACATAAGAACTCAACAGTGCGCAGATGCACAGCGGTACAACATCCGTCATCGAGAAGTTAATTATGAACCTGGTAACCAAGTTTGGGTTTGGACACCCATTAGGCGGCAAGGTCTCAGTGAGAAACTTTTGAGGAAGTACTTTGGACCTTACAAAGTACTCAGACGTGTGAGCGACGTCAACTACGAAATGGTTCCAGACGGAGGCTCATCATCATCCCAGCGCAGGTTACCAGGCCCAGAGACTACACGTCGTCCGCCTAAAACCATACTTTACGCGTTGATGCGAATTTTTTCGTTTGCCATTGAACTCTTTATGTGAACAGTGAATGCCGTTTATTTCCGATTGCCGGGCCCAGGACGCATTTTCTATCGTGCCCTACTTTGTTTAATGTTTGTTTATGTTGCCTACTTTGACCCACTACTGTGCACACTTTTCTTGAGCATCGGGTCGATGCTCTCTTGGGGGGAGGAGTAATGCCACCTGATGTTCTGTGCCAGCAAACAGTGAGCCAGTTCTGATCCAGTGAACGAAGAAGACGAAGACGAGCAACCCGTGCCAGCGGAGACGTCCTTCTTTGTGTCTCAGATTTTGACAGTCGCGTCTCCTTGTACGTTTCTTCGTGCTCCTAGCGCGTGACAATATACATAGCTTTCAACCCATATACCGAGCTGATTCATAGCACGACCTCACTACTGAGGTCGCGGCTGCGGTGGCTACACCTTCAGCATAGTTTTATTGTCACGACATTTGTCCTTTAAGTTTCACTATACATATTTCACGTCACTGTCATGCTTTTAATATTTCTATGCTTTTACCCGTGTAAGCGTGAGGAGTTTTAAGGCCCCTATACAGCCACATACCATATCATTGTTCACATCTCCTGTCACTCTTTGGCGCTCTTTGGCACTCTTTGGCCGTCAATTGGCCCTTGCGCCATTAAGCACCACACTTCATAATCATCGTTGAATGATAAAAATTTGCAGCATGTGCGTTAATTAAATGTGGACTGCGTGTCTCTGTGTCCATTCGGAGTCTTCTGTCTGTCATTGCAAATTAGCAGCGATTGGCCTATTCCATTAGAAAACACCGGTCCATCACTGCATGCTTTGCTCCGCCTCAGGTTTCTCTGCTGCGCAACGTCGGGATGAGCGCCAGTGTCAACGTAGCTACCAGTGTAAGCATTAACGCCCGCCGCTTCGCATCTACACATGGTTCCCTTTAGTGGAAGATGGTGTAATTTTTGTGTGTGGTGCATTGCAGTGAAGCCAATCTTTTGCATATTTCCAGAAAAAGTTTTCATGTATGTACTGAATAAAGTGCCTGAAATTATTTTGTCAAGTTGCTTCAATACTCATAGAATCAAATAAGAAATTTCAAAAATTGCTATTCTTGTATCATTTCTGGCAAAAAAACTAGGTGGGGATAGGGTAAACCCCAGGTGGCTAATAATGATCTGGAGTGTTTCTCTGCAGTGTCCTTCATAACTGATTTCACAGATTTAAAATTTTAGAACAAACAGATAAAATTTAGCAGTGCAGAGACATCGTTGTTCATCAAAATATTTCGTCACAGGCATCAGCAGCCAGTGCTATGTTCTTTGTATGGAACATTTCTACCATCGGGGATAAATTGTGATGTTCTATATTAGACTGGGACATAGCATTCTAATCTTAAATGCTGCTTAAAATCACAACTTCGCAACCAGAGTGCCTTTGTGATTTTGGCTAGCTGCATTTATGCTGTCATGAATGAAGCGAGGAAATTTTGAAAGTTTGTTTCTTTTTTTTTTTTTTTGACTCAGGCCTAATGAGAACCAGCAAATAATGAAGCCAAGGAAGGTATAGAGGATGTCTGTTGTACTGTCTGAAGTATATTGTACTAACCTTGATTTCAATGTAAAGAAATTAAGTGTGTGAAAAGACAACACTGGCAGAGATTGAACCTGCTTCCTTCGAAGGCTGTCTTGTCAGATTAGTTCTAGCTGCTTTCTAATTACACTTGAGCTTTCAGAAAACAGATGGAAGGTTTCAATTGTGCAGTGACAGTTCACATTGTCTTTGCCCCATTTTGTGCAGATGGAGGCTACCGAGCGCCTTGCCTGCGCGCTCTCTGAGCTGGCTACACTAAGAGCTGAGCTGACCGAAAGGCAGCAGAAAGAAGGCCAGGCTCAAAAGGAGCTTGAGGAGCTACGAAGTACATCTGAAGGTAACTCACAGTTATGTCGTCTTATGGTCTAGGGCTTTTCAAACTGGAAGCTGCAACGTTTAATTTTTGCTGCGATACATAAGGGGCTCTGACCAGCAGGGCTAGACCTGGGTGTTGTATTTGTACTCAAATATACCCTCACAAGTTTAGTTCAGCAGGGTGCAGGTTTGTGCTTGCCTAGTTGGGTGAACACATTTAGACAACCTATAACTGAGGCACCTTGAACTTGAGCTCAATCATAAAAATTATCTGATGTCTAATATGAAGCAAAGAAGACAAATTGCTTGGCATTCAACTGAGTCTTAAAGGTGCCAAGGTAAAGTGTGTGTAAAGTGAATGTAGTAAAACAGTGAGTGGGCGCCAGTGGAGGCGAAGCCGACAATATCCTCTCTGTCCATACGTTCCCATATCCTCAATGTTGAGTATTTATTGTTTATGCTCATTATAATCACTGCAGGGCAGTGTCGACGGAACAAGTCAAATGCGATCTTCGATGCTCTTTGACTATCTTGTATCTCTGTCATGCTAAGCCTGGCGAAACTCGTATTGAAGGCAATAGGTAACCAGCAATGGTTAGGTGGCGCAGCGATTTGCCCTGTTGTCAGCGCCATGGTGCCAATTCCGCGAAGTGTTGAGGCAGCCAACGAGTCATTACTACCGTGCATGGCGTGAGTTTGTCATGCTGTTTCAAGCATGTTGGTGGTTTTGTATTGCGGTTTTAAGGCAATTGAAAACATCGATGCCCATTTTCGACCACCGACGCTTGAAAAGGGATGCACACTGTACGACAACGACTATGTGTATGGTGTTAATGTGTATGGTGTTAAAGAAGTGAACACCCATATTACAGCGAAGTGCTTCTCACAGCAAAGCAAACATGCTTACGACGTTTAATTCCACTTAAGCGCACAAATACGACCGTATACGTTTTTCGATCAGCTGTCACTTGTAGCTTTATTGCTCGGAAACCTCGAAAGCTGTTGAGCAGGTGCTCTCGACCGCCTCTTGTATACAAGAGAAAGTATTGTTGGAAGGTAACTAGGATGATGCTCTATGGTGCTTTTTGGCTGTTGTCGAAATGCCTCGAGCATATCCTGGTATTCTTGTTAGGTTTTCAAGATTTAGAGTTCCATTGGCGCTCAAACAGTGAATTGAGAGCAATCAGCTGACACTTAATAACGCGAAAACAAAACGTGTGCGCGAGAGAAGCAATAATTTGCGAATACTCCACGTGTTACGCGGTGCACTCCAGCCTTATTTCTGTCATATTAAGCGCAAAAAAGCATCGGCATTAATGAGCCCATTCCACCAGTCTAGTCATCGTTCTGGTGCACAAAGGAGGGGCAAAGCATGTTTACAAATTAATGCATGCAAAAAAGCGCCGTGTGTCCAAGCTCTTATGATGTTAGGTTTCACGAGTGACAACCACTGTGCATGTTTTAACACATGCTTGTGAGCAGTTGTAACGTTGCTGTTCGTTGCACGAATGCTTCCCGTTATTGTTTTTGCTCTGATGTCGTTTAACGAAAATTCACAAGGGTGATACTTACTTGACGCGCCGAACAGCGGTGATCCACTTCTGCCGTCAAGTTGCTTCCGACGGTCTCGGTGGGAAGCGATACATTATGACGCCGACAACCCCTTCTTTGTTGTGGCAATCCTTACGCAGCAGTACCGTATTTTCGCGCTTATAACCCGCCCCTGCATATAATCCACACCCCCACTTTCAGCTCACCGAGAAAGAAAAAAAAAAACCTCGCGTATTGCCCGCACATTTTATATACAGGAAAGGCCGTACAAAAGCTACTGCTCAAGCAACATAGCACATATGTAGACAGAAAAAGCTTTATTTAGCAAGCAGAATACGCTGTCTGCAAGGCCAGTCACAATTCACTCACTGTCGCTGTTCTCGCTAGAGCTATCACTTGAGCCGCAGTCCTCACTATTATGCACAAGGTAATCTTCGGTTCCATCCATGTTGTTTGTGATGCAGCATTTCTTGAAACTTTTTCGCACCATCTCACCTGGAATGGCCTTCCATGCCTCGACAATCCACTTGCAGAATAGGGCAATATCAGGCCTTCGGACTCGTCCTGTCGGCGTCAAGTCATAGCAGCCTTCGGCCATCCACTTGGCATAATAGTGCTTGACATGCGCTTTGAAGGGCTTGTCAAGCGACACATCTAGAGGCTGCAACATTGACGTCATTCCACCGGGTATAACAACTAAGTCGGTGCCGTTGCATGAAAGGCGGTCCTTCACTTCCTCAGTTGTGTGGCTGCGGAATGAGTCAAGAACGAGCATGGACCTGTTTGCGAGTATCGCACCGGGCCTCTTCTCTCATACCGTCTTGATCTAGTCTACGAACAAGTCACTGTTCATCCACGCGTTCTCGTGTGCGCGCACCACCACACCAGCAGGCAAATGAACCTTTGGTAGAGTTTTCCTTTTTAAGATGACGTACGGTCACAGTTGCGGCCCAACGGCGAGGGCACAAAGCAAGACTGTGATGCGCAGTTTCGTGTTCCCGCCAGTCAGCACTCTCACCGAACTGCTGCCAGTCTTTTCAATCGTTGTGTCCAACGGCATTTCAAAATAAACAGGAGTTTCATCCGCATTGCCGATTTGCGAGAAAATTTAATTGTGCTGCTTTCGCAGGCCAATTACATATCTCTGGTACTTGAGCAGCTTCTCCTCATAAGCAGCTGGCAAGCGTTGACATATTGTAGTCCACCGTCTGATTGAGAGCCCTTGCCGCTTCATAAAGCGGTGCAGCCATCCGCGGCTCGCACGGAACTCGTGAGGTAGGCCTAGCTCCCTCGAAAAACGCCGCGCTTCCACTTGGGCCATCTCGGTCGATACGGTGTGACCCCTGCTTCTCACATCTTCGATTAACTTTACTAGCTCCACCTCCAGCTCAGGGTAAGCACCGGTCTTGGGGCCACGAAATGACCTATGGTCGCGGTGCGCGACTTGTAGGCTCTCTTTCTTCTTTCTCCACAGTCGCACGTAGGACTCGTCCACATCGTGCAGTCTTCCCACTTCGCGATTTCCAAATTCCTTGGTGACGGCGATGATCTTAAGCTTTTGCTGTGCCGTGAAGGCCTGCCGCCGTACGCTACTCATGTTGACAGAACAGATCGACTTAGGTTTTGCGAACGGGTCGAGATGTGGAGAACTAGCGGTATCAGCGAGGTAAAGAGCGCTCACACTCGGCGACAACTGGACAGCACTACCCCTTCTAGTACACTGTAACAGCACCCTGGAAACAACAGAACCAAAATGCATGCCTGCTACCGCATCAGAAAGTAGTACATTAATTTACTGATATCTCTATAGGCACAATAATATCTCATTTGCCTTGCTGAAATAAATACTGCTTTATTTATTGTGGAATTTACTTTATTTATTATGGAACTTTCTTGGACAGCACCACCTTTTCAGCAAGCCCTTTCCAAAAGTAAACATGGCGTCCATGACGTAGGGACATGTGGAGGGTCACTGAGCGGCCGCGAACGTCCAAAAAATATACTTGTGGTGTGACAGTGAGATTTTACACTGAACAATCGAATTGTCTCTCCCCAAATGTTTTTCTAAACGCTTCAACGATGCAAGCAAGCGAAACCAAAATCAACCGCAAGCTGCCGTGCTACTTGCGAAGCAACATGAATTTGCGGAAACGCCTCCGTAGCCTTCGCTACACTGTTAAGGGGCTTCACAGCACAACACGCATTGCTGTGAAGCAGCACTATAAAAAAAACCCCGCGTATTATTCGCACCTCCACTTTGCCACTGAAATTTTTGGGTTTTTGGTACGGGTTATACGCACAAAAATACGGTATTTGCGTTTGTTCTTTCTTTTCAACCTCTGACAACGAAGTTGTCAACAGGCTGCAGTAAGTAGATTGAATAACGATGCACTGCTATGTTGTTCTGCCTGTTCGCAATGCGCACAACGGTGAAATGGCACGATGGGTTGCCCCATGGGTTTTAATCATCGCTGCTAGGCGGCGTGACATATACAAGCAAACTGCATTGTCGTGTGCTTATGTACTGGTAGATCAGCTTGCCACATCTGTTGGCACAAAAGCTGTAAATGCAGGGCTGTACCTTTTCAGTTTATAAATCCTTACATTCTCAAGAGATCATGAAACTACTGGCAGCACTCGTGGGACGTTAAGACTCGTAATGTGCTGCACGTAATTAAATTACCCAACAAGTGGTCAAAATGTTGAATTATATCTTGATGGTCTTGAAGAGACTATGAATTATAGTGACAGATTCAAGAATCCCTTTCGTAATCTGAGTCATTATTTATAATCTAAATTGAATTTTAAAGTCGTAAAAACCTCTGTCACACAGCCTCGCAGAAAATTCTTGAGGCTGGATTATGGAGTCGTTGACATTGCTGTATGTAGTCTACGCTGTCATGTGCACTATGCTTAATGCCTAAAGTTACAGCATGTGTAATAGACCTGTGCGAATATTCAAACATTCTGAATATTTGAGCATATACAGTTGAGCCGACATATAACGGCCCCACTTAAGACGAACTTTCGCATAAAAAGAACAATATCCGCGTGACTGTGAAAGTATAAGTGGTTCAATGGCACAAAATCGCACTTACAACGAACGTCTGCGAGCGCAGCTGATTGGTTACAGTGAACGGAACCGGCGCTCTGCCAACTTCCCTAGAAAGCACTTTAGACCACTGATCAGGCATCGGCAAGCTGCCCATGCCCATACATTCTTATTGTTAAACGCCGCCCCTGCCTCCGTGACCCTATAGTTGCCACTGTCCCCAACCCATGGAGCAAAGAAAGCTGTTTCCTTCCTCCATGCTCCGACTGCTTTTTGTTACGCACCCCTCCGTCCTTTGTCCCCCCCGCTACTCTGACCACCCCGCATCGCCAGACGAGGTCCGTGTTTTCACACTGCTACCGATCTTTCGAAGACCGGTCGGCCATCTACCCTGTTTTTGATCACTGGTACTGTCGTTG